CTTGCAAAATCCTTTGCTCGTTTCGTACAACGTTTCTATCCAATGGATATCCAGACCAGTGTCCAGGTCCGGGATCACCCTCGTACATACAATTACTCTGCCACGTCTTGCGACATCACTATCCAATTGACGTCCAGTTCGGTGTCCCGTCGGTAACCAGTCGTTAATAATACGATGGATCAGCACATAAGAGGCTATTCACAATGTTGGGCTGCTCACTCCGCATTTACGGCTGAAACCCCCCCTGTATAAAAAGGTTGCCTTACCGTGCCTTGCGACATCTCTTTCCAATGGCCGCCCAGGTGAGCATACATTCGGCGACTGTATTAATTTAATTGGGCCAGCCTGTCATGGGCTGTTCACAAGCCTAGGCCACCTTCCCCACATGTGCGTTTAATATATATGCTTATCTTCTATGGATTTGCTGCAAGTCCGACTTGGTAAGCTACAAATCGTCACAGCCTTGTACTGCCAATTCCCCTCCGTTGCAGTATACACATTGGTTATGACCTAGTATATCATGGCAGTAATCTATACACAAATAGAATCCGGCTACTTCAACACATAATACCATCTAATTGATTCAAGTTTTCAATATTCCCGGTTGCGCCATGTCTCTATGTAAGAATTGCATGATGAGCCCGAACATGGAGCATATTCTCTCGCTTATTGGCTACTTATTTATATAAAAAAAAAAGAACATTATACCAAACTACGAAGTAGCACAATGCCTCGACACAAGGTATCAGCCATACATGGATCTGGTCAGCTGGGGTCCAGGCCTTGTTGAGTGCTCTGTTGGCAAACGCCACAGCGTTTCATTCAGTTGAAGCGGCGTATAAGAAACAATAAAATGACGTCAAAACAAGGCTATGAATTGAATGACTAGCCATATATAGACAGTGTTATAGCTTCCAAAGGTGGCAAGATTGTTGGGGGTGCCGTGATAGGCAGCCTTTCCACATCCGAGCTGCAGCGGACTTAGATTGAAGGGCGGCATTGCTCTCTACGTGTCGTAAAACGACAGGTCTATTCATAATTTCTTCTTCTAGGCAACAGACAATCTAGCTCCGCGGATACGGGCCAACTGGTTTGATCTCTTTGTCCTGGCTGAATAGTGGATCCAGTTCTACCCATGAACTCTGACACTTGACTTTCACAGACTCTTATAAGTCCATGTATATAACCTCGTTACCCGAATCCTGTAACCAAAAAAAACTTCTTAGAGCATCCAACAACTATAAGGACGACAAAGAACATAAAGCTTCATATTACTATTATACCCTTTACCACAATCTCGAAGGCCGATAACTTACACGTACAGGTGATAAGGTAGCTAATCCCGCAACTGTCATGAAGAAAAAAGACATGAGACTAATATGGAAATCATCATTTATGCTGATAGTTGATTCTAGAGTTCGGTATCAAATTTACTCCTGCTCCATTTCTACTACGTACACCGTAAGCAATGGCGCAAGCAAAGGTGCAAGCAACGTTCTCCGGATCCCACAATTCTGGTTTCCAGATGGGCCAAAATATGGGCACGGTGAATACAGGTACGGTGAATACCTTTGCGGAAGGAGTCACCGTTTATATGGGTAAGTCATGAAGGATATTTCTACCAATGTAGTGAATTACCCAGCTAAAAGTTCAAATACAGGTGGCTCATCAGCCCAAAGCCCTGAAGAACAATTCCTCGATGCTCTTATTGCAGGAGATACCAGTATTGGGGTCCCAATTGAGCCTGCTGAGCCAGGAACATGTTCATGGGTACTTACTGAACTTCGTTCGTGGCGGAAGGAACCTCACAGCCATCCATTGTGGATCAGTGGGAGCTCTGGTTGTGGCAAAAGTGTTATGTCTTGGTTCATCCTCCGGGAGAAGAATGAATGGATCTCCCCCCAAGAGGAGACAAAAGGGAAGACCATTGTTGCGGGCAGTTTCTGCGATAGACACCCCAGCCGACAGAAACCCATTTGGATCTTGAGGACTCTATTATACGAGATCCTCAAACAGAACCGCGATCTAATCGATACCAAGGATCCAGAATTTTGGCAGGAATCCGGAAACAAAGGCCAGCCGATCCTGAATCTCGATTTGTTCGAGTCCATAGACTCTCTCGCAAAGCTTTTGGGCCAGATTACGGACCATGCGAATGTTAGCGAGGTATACTTGGTTGTTGATGGCCAGTATCAGCAACAAGAAGATGCTATGGATCTAGAGTACTTGGTCAACCGAGTTTCAAGCTACTGTGGGAAAAAAGCCACCCCTCGCTGGATTTTCTCCACACGACCCAATGACCTGAACCGCCTGATGCCAAACACACAAGTGATAGATCTCTTCGAAAGAAACAGACAGGATATTCTTGTTGTAGCTCAGGCTCGCATGAAACATCTCCAGCGTCTCAACAGCGCAATCACTGAATCCTTCATTTCTGAAGTTGTTGAGATCATGACAACACGTGCCGAAGGCATGTTCTTATGGCTTTCTCTAGCATTAAAGTCCTTGGGGAACAGCACCATATGGGATATTAATGAGATCAAAGAGAAGCTTCAAAGCATCCCATACAACGTTCAGGCCATTTATGGAACAATTTATGAACATTTGGATAAGAGGATGAAAACTCTACTCTTATGGGTACATGTGGCAGGTCGCTCGTTAAAACTGAGCGAGGTCTTGGTAATGTGGGCGCTACAAGATGGTGAAGAATCCATCGAAGCAATTGAGAAAAAATCTCTTAGCCCTGATGCCGTCCGCAATTCTTTCGAAAGCAATTTGAAAGCGCTACTTGTCCTTCATGATGATAGTACAATTCACTTCGCTCACCCATCCGTCAATGACTTCACCCAACAATTATTCAACAGTACAGATGGACAAGAGCAAATCAGCATAGCTAATACGCATAAGCAATTAGCAGAACTGTGTCTCGCTTATTTAAGTTTGGAGGAAATCCGTACACTTGTTGTACCAGAACCCCCAGTTGATGAGAATGGTATGATCGATAGAGTGAAACGTGAGGAGGAAATAAAGCAATATTTGGGGAGATATCAGTTTCTCGAATATTCGATTATTTTTCTCGATCTTCATCTTAGGGAGAGCGAAGAGGCCAACAACGACGCCCAAGTCGTAGAAGGAAGGGATGAGTTCTTTGGGAGGGAATCCCAAGCCATGAAGCATTGGGTACGAGGTTATGATTTACTGGTACGCTGCACAGCAGGTAAATGTATGGACACCTTGGATCTATACCACTGGCTATAGTGATGGCTAACTTCATCTCTCAATGATTATCAGACACCGGCGGCTCAAATAGTCTCAGTCTGCTTTTCATTTCTGCTCGGCTCAATCTCACCTCGCTGGCGGAACAGTTCATTTCCACGGGAGGTGCCCTTACATCACTCATCAATCTTCCAGGCATGAAATTACTTGCTGCTGGAGCATCATCTTTTGATATGGTCCGCTCACAGCTCGTCGACCTGCCTGACATCAAAGGCTGGCGCGCTCTACATATCGCTGCGGACTCTGAAGCTGAGAAAGTGGTAGAGTGGCTTCTCAATAATGGTGCTGCAGTAGACTCTAACACGATTGGTTTCATCCGACCTGGGCGCACTGCTTTACATTTTGCTGCATCGAAGTCTAGCAACGCTTCCCTTCGCATTGTTCAGGCCCTTCTGAAGAAAGGAGCAAACCCAGGGGAGCCCACCATATTTGGAGGAAACACTCCACTCCACTATGCAGTCCAAGGAGGATCGGTGGAGATTTTGAGGGCGTTGTTGACACACAAAAAGCCTGCGCAACCGAATTATCCCAATTTCTCCGGTATAACGGCGCTCCACAAGGCAGTTGCAATTCCAAATGGCGAAGCAATGGTGGAGGTGTTGTTGCAACACAAGGCCGATCCCGAAGAAACATCGTCGCTCGACAAGGTAGCGGTAGTCCGCGGAGTAAAGGATGCCAGTGTTGTGTCCACTATCAAGGCTGTTACAATCATGAAACCTGCCAGCATGTGGAAATCGGTTACGGATACCTTTCATGGAGTTGCGACAAATAAAACCGCGCTTCACATAGCCGTGGGAGTCAAAGGAACAGAGGAGACGGTCAAGAAGCTGCTGAAATGGTACGCTGATAACGGGAAAATGGCAAAAAGCAAAGATTCCATGGGTTATACAGCATTGCACTCCGCTGTGGACGGTGACAGCTGCTTCACACATGTGAAGCTATTGGTTGACTCGAAAAGGATTGATATAAACGTACAAGATGAGATTGGAAGGACGGCTCTAGTGCTCTATATGCAAAGGTTGAGTCAAGCGCAATCGTTGTCCGAGGTTGGTGATCTCAGTGCTTTGAAGAAGACACTGGATGATCTGTTGGATTCGGGTATCGTTGCAGACACGAGGGATCAGGCTGGGAAGTCGGCTGTCGATTACGCAAAGCAAGCAGGACTAACCTGGGCCATTGAGAAGTTGAACTCCGTTCTCAAGCATCCTGAGATTCTGACCCCAAGTTCGAGTTCGGAGCCAAAACCTCCAAGCGAGTCAGCACAAGGTGTTAAAGGTATGTTGAAGAAGACTGGGCTGGGCAGGTTCTCAAAAAAGTTTTAGATACTGCCTTGATAGTATCAATAGGTATTAGCAAACAGAATGAGATATCTACATTGTTGGGGGAGACTCCTCGTGTCGACCAAAAATTGCTGCTATAGCTCTATATGTTTTGCATCGTACTAGGAGAACTGAAGCGTGGAGGCATTACTCTTGCCTACTCCAACCACTCCTTGACGACCGAATTGGACACAATTGCCAACTGCTCTAAAATGTTTATACTCTCCATTCCAAAGAGATTTGGGCCATCTTGCCTGAAGCAGAACACCCGGGTTGAGTGTCGAGTTTGGTATTGCAATTACTTCTGAAATGGTTTACCCTGTATAGACAATAATAACTCTGCCTCTTCCAACAATTCGGAGCCATTCTCTGACTTCGAACCCGCCAATTTCCAAATTCGGATGCGCTTCCGTAGCTCAGTTGGTTAGAGCTTCGTACTAATACTAGACGTCACAATCTAGCCTTGGTAATGCGAAGGTCGCAGGTTCAAGCCCTGCCGGGAGCAAAATGCCCCAATGCGTTATCCAGAATTTAGAATTCTTTTTTTGGTTCTCTTTTTGTTCATGATCCTATTACGTTTTCTTTCTATTCAGTCGCACTCTTTGCATTCATTGATGAAGAGGATGCCTTGATATTTGCAGGATGTTCACGAATCAGGGAGTGGAAGCCTGATCACTGTTTCAAAGACGGCGGCCCAGGCGTTTGCAGCCCGAAAATGAACGCATAACGACCATGATGATCCAGGTGCAGTGAATGTGGACTTTGCAGTGAAGATCTTTGTTTACCGCATACTCATTCCTAAGGGCAAGAAATAAAACCGAACACGGCTTACACAACCTGGCTCTGAGCTGGTTGAGTTCAAAATTGTTGTCATCCCAGGTGACTGGTGTCAATGTCGCCATTGTCGTACAATCACGCCTTTGTTTGATGATGGCTTGCGACCATCACGCTGTGATCCAGAGCGCTGAACAAAGGACGATTTTAAAATGACATTTTGGATTGATTTACAAGCTGTTTCCTTCAGTGGTTTCCCGTGGGCTTTGTTTCGACCGCCTGCCGCATGTTGTGTTACTTGAATGTCAAAATTAGTAGCTGAACTGCTGCAGAATGTGAAGAGCTCGAAAAGGATCATGGCGGTGAATCGACATCACGCTCATATACCTGTGCATAGAAACGAACTTCGTGAAGCTATATATTTCCGAATGAGCCGCGATCTTGGTTATCAGGAATCGACCACGAGAAGCCAGTTTCCCCCGAATCGCAGAAGAAAAGGAAAGAGAAGCCACAGTTCTACAGTCAAAGACGGCCAGTATGTCAACCTCAACTAGTTCAGAGGCCCTGGGTAAAGAAGCAGAGATTTTCGATCGGCTGTTCCAGCTTGACGAGGAAGATGTTAGTTGGATCAAGAGACGCATCAGCAGACACATCGCAGCCTGCAAACGATATGCCAGTGAGAGGCCACCTCGATGGAGGGAAGCTCTGCGTGAGGCCAATGAGGCTTCTACGATCGCATTTGCCGAGGGCATGAACGGCCTCGACTCCAAGATCAACTTTTACATAGCCCACTGTTACAAGGGAATGGGCATGTGGCGGGAAGCCCACCAGTTCTACATGAACAGCACTGTCGATAATCAGGACATTTACTGGCTACAAGGGCTGCAGTCACTCAGCAGGCAGAAGATGGAGGATCTGGCGCTCAGGCGGGTAAGAGGTTCTGGCGATTTGCGCACGGCTTATAGTAACATGACAAAGCTAGGATAGACAAGGATGCGGGTTATCTGTGATATCTGAATAGAAATACGGTACATTTGTGAGTAGAATCACTCCTCGGGAACATGACGTCTCCTGATTGTACCACTTACACGACTTCGTAGGTTGCATCCCGGCAATCTAAGGAAAGATTCAGCTCAACGCAGCCTGGCCAACGCAACGATTACCATGAAAGGGCAACGTGACAATGCAGGGTGGTAATATTGATTAATGGTAACCAATAAGCCTGCCCGCATGCATAGCTGAAGTGGAGGCTTAGAGCACGCACGCCTGGTGGTATGAAACGCCAAGATAGACGCCTTCCATATGTAACGTATTAGGAATTGATGTTTATGGAAGTTGAAGATGACTGTTTATATTCTATTTGAGATTCAAGGACCGTTGCCAAGTATACAGTGAGACATACCTGAGCTTACTCAAGTATATGACGGCCGATTAGGAAGTCGGTAGCTCTAGGGCTTATGCTATTAACACTCATGGCATGATCTCTATTTCACGTAAGACAGAGTACTGTAAGCGGGATCTGCATAGAACCCTTCTTTTTATAATCAATCCGAGCCACAGTCGGTGTCTTCCGGCGTAAGGCCCTTACCCTCCCTTCTCTAGGTCAGATAAGGGGCTGTAGAACGTCTATTCGCCCAGCTCATTCAATTTTTTTTTAGCGCGTGATAATCATGGAATTAGGTAGGCACCTTAAGCAAGAATTAGAGAAACTCGTTGGCTTTTCTATGTTTGGCAATATCAGAAAAGGGTGTTTCATTATAGGTTGCCACTGAAGTCGTCGTGTTTTAGCTAGTGGGCTGTTGAAATCTTATATAGGATTCAAGGTAATGGCGTCTTATTAACATTCACGAGGTTTTCACTAGTTCCGTTGCGAATAGGAATCATGGATTTATCATTGATCTGGCGGGACGATGGCTTATGACTTGTTAAATAAATATATGATAAGATATGTGGTTCTTGGCTCCTCTATCGTGTGTGAGAGATAGGCTTGATAACGTGAGTGGGCTATGATCTGCTTTAGTCTGGTGGAGAAGCGGGATTGCCATGGGCCTGGATCAAAGATATGATATACTCCGTCCTACTTCCAAATAAAGAAAAAACATAGCATAAAAGCAGCAATGAAGAAAGAGGTTGCGCAGTGCTAAAAAAAGAAGTTGCATGGGCTGACTCGCAAAAAAGTCCAAAACGATGGAACCCTTAAAAGGAAAGCCCCCTGCCAGACTCGAACTGGCAATCTCAAGATACGCTCTAACAGACGCCAACCTTTTTGTAGGCTAGTGCTAATAGAAGTCTTGCGCCTTAACCATTAGGCCAAGGGGGCTTGTGATGCCAGACGAGGAAATTGTTTGCTATGAACCAAGCGCACACAGACGACCTACTAAGTCTACCAAGGGCTGCACATCTACCCGGTGAAGGCGATGGGATGAGCTGCATCGATATCTGTTTGATGTGTTCGGATTAGATACAGTAGCGTGGCGACAGCAGGCAGACAAATGATCCATGGCTAATGTAGCTGCAATAGGTAGGTCACTACCATCTAGCGTCTACCTAAAACCTGGATGGGTTAATGACAGGCTCCCTGTTATGTTCTGGTACTCTTAGATTACATGTACTTAGTCGCACTCCACCAGGCCGTTGAGCAGGATTGAAGCCATCCCCAGGAAATACTAATCGAACCATTTATTCTTCTGCTTGCGGTTCTAGTTCTCTTAGAGGAAATGATAGGTTTTCTTATGTTTTTATCCAAATTGCAGCACACAAGTCCGGAGTATTTATGAATTCTGCCGCCAGCAGCTCAGTCAGCAGTTTCTCCGCCTGCCCTCTTACTTTTGTCCGAGAAAACGAAACAAACATGCACTTATGCAACTTCCCCCCCTTCTTCACACTCCTCACACTCTCACGCCCCCGTCTCGACCTTCCTCTAGCCCACATTTCGTCGACAGGGCCGAATCCAATGTAACCCTCAGGTTGTGGGCGACCCTCTGATTGGTGAGCCACGCCTGTCAAAACGCTCATCGAGCTTGGCTCTCTAATAATCCGGGTCTTAGGTTCGGACATTCACGTATCCCTCACGCTGCGAGCCCATCATGTGGCTACTATACCGACATCATTGAGCATTGCGCTTTGTCTGCGCTGCAACCCAGAGGCGGCGGTTGGGGTTGCTTCGCGGGAGCTCGCCCAGGCCATCCTGCTGGTACGCGTATGGGGGCATGCGACATGGGCCATGGAGATTTCTCACACGGGTCCTGGCCTGTGCTTGTTATGTCCTTGTACGGGTCGAGCTCGGCATTGCCATATTGCGTGCTACTGTACTCCGTACTCCGTCAACGGGATTACATTGCTTCTTTAAGATTCGGCTGTTCAAGTGCCGTGGCCTGCGGACACACCCGTTTCCACGGACCTGCTGTATGTAAGCATGGTTCCTATCTTCCACGGCTTTATCGTCAGATTGGTAGGGCAAACGGAGCAATTATCCCGACTAACAACGGCCGTGCCGGTCAGACACAATCTAGATTCCGCAATGCCTGGTGCCGACATCTATATATGGCTACTATGGCTAGCCCTGTTCCTGTCAGATCTGCATCTATTGCCGACGGGCCACTTGCTTGTTTCTCTCAAACCCACAGCCAATAACACTAGCATTCCCCTGTATGCTCTTCCGCTAGATCCACACGGTCAGCGCCAAGCGGCGTTGTGACCGGCGACAACGAGTTTCAGTTCCTCCGACGAATGACTACTCATCCTAACTCGACTATCGCGGCCGAGGTATTTGAAATCGCAGCGCAGACGGTCTTTGGTTGTTTGAGTCACGAACCACTGCGCCAGGCGCAGATATCGTGCAGTCTTGGAAAGGAAAACGGGCACCCCCCGGTCAAGACAGGTTTGCGGATGCCATCGGTGGTTTCGTTTCAGCCGACGCCCTCAAAATAGTATTAAATCCGACATGGACTGACGGCGGCGCAAACTCCTTCCGTAGGGTCAATCACTCATTAATCATCCTCACCGTCAACAACGATAGCCATGGCATTTCCACGGCAGAATCGACATGGCAGGCAATCTACCCACTGCTTTTGCTGCGCCGCTATCGTTGCTGCTACTGCCAAGGAATACGAATCGAGCAACATCCAAGCCGCGTGCCGGCCCGTGGCTAAATTCACATCACCACCACCTCCCGGCAATTTCGTCCTGGCAGAGCCAAAATAGCCAAACACTAATCAATCCCGAATGCGCATCACCGAAAGTTTGTGACAGAACTTCAGCAATTCTCTGTAGAATTCTCAAATAAAGCCTCGGGACAAAACCTTGTCTCCATAAGCTTTGCGTGCTAGCAGAATATGGCCTATTTGCCTGCCTCTTTTAGCCAAGGGCTAAATCATGCGACGTCTAAAACTTTTTTTCTGTTTATCTCGGGTCAAACCTTGTCATAATCCTCGCAAGAGGAAGAACAAACTCATCGTCCTTACTCAAAGGGGATCAAGGCCGCCGTGTCGTGTCTCAACATATTTTCCGTTACCTTGTCTGGACGATGCCTGCAAATTGTGTGTACTCTGTCCTGCGTACTCTGTCCGTGGACGGCCCTATTCTGGCGATCTCGTAGTCGGCCCGTCCCCGGGGAGTCAACACGAACGCAATGAATCAAGGTAGAACTTGGTTAGCTAAATCTCTCCCCCGCATTCTCTTCCTTCGGGATATCAAAGATGCATGGCTGGGCTCTGTCTGCCGACGACAATCTTGGATGAGGGCATGAATTGCTCGACTTGATGTAATGGAAGGTGTAAGCGAAGGGGTTTCCTGGTGTAGCATGTCGAGACTTGGGCTGCCGTCTTACAAGTCTGTCTTGGGTGAAACGCCGTATCACACTTGGTACAAGCTCCTGCCCGTTCCCGCAATAGTGGCATTGCATCACCAAATCCCAAAAAAATATCGCTACACAAGTACATGGAGAGACAGTCCTATGGCTTCATAGGGCATGATTTGTAGGGCATGATGGCAGGGAGGGGGGAGAAATTAAACTCAACTGTGAAGATGGGCCCAATCGTTGCATCGTGGATGGCCAGCCAAGAAAGGCTAGCAACGAGAAGGGAGGGAGGGATTTTCCCATGTCGACGTTTCCATATCATCATGATCTGTCTAGAGTGGAGGAGGGCTGCATTATCAGATTTCTTGCGAGTCCACCAGGCTCTGGAACAAGCTGTTGGGGTCCCCCAAGAGCGAAAAGATCAGCGCAATGCCCCCCCCTCCGCCGGCGTTGTGGGCTCCTTACACGCGACTGACATGGATTTCGGCCGGCCGTTGCTCATGGATGATGTATCAAGGGCCGAATCTGCAATCTGGCGCCTGGCAGAAGGTGGTTGCAAAGGGAAGTTGCGAGAAAATGCTGGGGGAAGATGGCGCTTGGCAAAGAAACATAAAGGCGGACGCCCTGGTACCACGGGTATTCTTTCGCCCCTTGGCCAAAACATTTATGCATTCCGCTCGTTTGGTGTCGTAGAGCATATACCTGCATAATCTCTCCGAGTCGACTGAAACGCTGCAGTGTTGAGTTTGAGATCTTGGGACGGTGTGAAGCCTCAGCGACCTTGCTTCAACTCACTTGAGGCCTCCCTCCCGTTCAGAACTTTATCAGCAAGATAGACTCTGCACTGATAACAGACTCCTTGAGACACCACGTAAGCTTGTCCTCATACAAAAGTATTCACTTACAGATAGCTTATTCGCCCGTGCCGTCGGGGCCGGGGTAACACATGTCTGACAAGCATTATCAAGCAGGAACCACCGCGAAGAGAGCATCGAAAACGGCCCTCACCTTCCCCTTTGAAACGTCGATATCAGGTCGAAAATTCGCAATCTCTGCCCAGCATTGCCTAAACAGGCCTTGCTGACTTTGCCTTTTCCACAAGGGCATCGATATCAGGGCAAATAACCTGGCTGAGTTGCCGCACGGGCCGGTCCAGTGCCACCCTCGGCATCCACTTGAAGGTAAATATAGAATCATCTTCAAAAGGCACCGATGTACTTGCATGTAATCATCGACCGGCATTGCGTGGCAACAAGGTCTGCGTCTTGAGTCCTTGTCTAATCGCTGACCGATAGATAGTTGCTGCAAAAGGACATATACCCCCTCTTGGTGCACGACATAGTTTGTTGTACTCACCAACTCAACTACTCTCCTTCACAGCAAGCCTCAACCTTGGCCTATCACAAATCACCTTCTCTTAGTCTTCATCTTCCTCCCTGTCGTACTATAACCCACAATCACTGCCGGCTCCAGGGGTTTAAGAGTAAAGCATAGGACACTCTTTGGGCAATAGCTGCCTGCTTTGACGTGGACGTTATCCTATTTCGAAACGGTTTACATCAAAGTCGCCCAAGATGGCTGGCAGCACCGCATTCGCACACCGTGAGGAGCTTAACCACCGGCAGATGTACGCATTTATCGGTGCGATAGTAGGACTCGCGGCGATCTTCATCTTCTTCCATCTAGGACGACGCCTTGCGCAGAAATCGAATGTTGGAAAAAAGGGGGTTTCAGCTTTGGCTGCCTTGTCTCGGTAAGTCTGCGCACCATAACTAAATGTCTCGGCCTGTCATCGTGTTCGATCTGTGACGACAAGTTGCAAGTTATGAAATGCAAAAGGTCAGCATCAAATGTTGTAAGGAAGCTAATAAAGGAAATTAGGAAACCACGAAATGTTCTTCTCCGCACAGCACCTGGTCTGCCCTCGCGAGGGCATGCCATCATCGTCTTCTTTTATCTCGCCATCAACATCATTGTCACCTTTACCGACATCGACAATTCTGTCATCACGATGAACTCCAACTTGGCCGCACGAGCTGCATGGTATGTACCACACGATCTTGCTTTGCTTCTTGGCTTTAATAGGCTGACTCTGGAACAGGATGGCGGTCGCAAACTTGGTTGTTCTCATATTCTTGGCTTTAAAGAACACTCCGTTGGCGTTTCTCACAGCTTGGTCGTATGAGCGCCTCAATATCCTCCATCAAATCGCCGGTTCCACGTGCATCATCTTTGTCATCATCCATGCCAGCTGCTACTCGTCCTACTTTGGGTTTGCGGGAAGAATCTCGGTCCTCCGAGAAGAAAGCGTGATCTATGGCGAGATTGCTGGCGCCTCCTTCTTCATCGTCGGCTTTGCAGGAATGGTCATCCGTCGGTGGTGGTACGAGCTCTTTTACTATGTTCACATCAGCTTCTGGATCATTGCCATCGTGATGGTCGGCCTCCATCAACCCAACTTTGGCGAAAAGATTGTCTACGTCGTGATTGTCACCGCGGGCATCTGGGTGCTCGACCGTCTG